AATATTAATCTGTATTATAATATATGGTATAGGTGTTGTCTATGAGTAGGGATGAAGCGGAAAAAGTAAACAAAAATAAGTAAAGGAAATTAATGAAGGAAATTACGTTACCAGCCGAATTAGCGCCTACTTTTATTAGAAACTGACTTAGTTAATCGTTTGAACTCATTTTGTAGTGGGAATTGGCTTACAACAAACCGTGTGATTACAGTTAATAAAAAGCAATCAGTCTTTAGCTATGTAGTAGAAATAGTTTTGTGATATTACGTCAGTTGCTTATAAGAATGACTGTTAAATTGGAAGTTCTCTACAATATTTCAATATTGTAAGTAGGATTAGTTTATAACAAAGAAAGTTAATTGCACAATAAAATTGCTCCCAATCTGCATATTGAGCAATGCATTTTTTGTCAAAAGACTGTAACTCTCTAAACAATGCTGATAAGCTTAGTTCCATTTTTTGAAGGATTAATGACGGATAAATGATTTCTCATTTGAGATATAAAATTGAAGCACTTTTATATTTGTATAAGGAATATTTAAATAAGACAACCTTTAGTCTTATGGATTAAATACAAATTTCAGTTCGAAATTTTATAATTTTTACAAAATTTTTTTTTTTAATTTTATCGACAATGCTAATATTGGCAATGAACAGCAGATGAACATTTAATAATAACAAACAATTGATGGAAATGATGAGAGTCATATATATTATATGCTTCAATTTTATTTAGTATTTTGATTTTTCATCATTTCAATATATTCAAAGGTTTTTAACTTCTTTGTATGGATGAAATATTTTGCAAAAGAATCCAACATTTTGACTCTCGAATGTTAATAAAAAGCAATATTATGGATCAGAATTAATAGAAACTCCTAAAATTAGTGTAATAAGGAAAAAGCGATCATCAACTAATTTTAAATCACATTTCTATACTTTAAAACAAGCAGATTAATTTATTGCAATACTTCAAGTATCCTGTTATGTTAAGTAAAATCTAACTGAGTAATGAGCTCAAGACAAAACAACATTTGTAAACATTGCTATAATGTGTTAAATTCGTTCCATATTTTCTTTTCTTACTTTATGTTCGAGAAATGCGCGTTTTTGTTAATGAATGCTATTTCTTCTTTTTCAGTGAATATTTCAATTAACATAGGCCAAACTCTAACTTTCTGGTTCAGAAAGACGCAGTCCATTTATTTATTTAACTGAAGGATGATAGTTCTGCTAAAGTAATTCATTTCGAATTTGGGACAAGAAGTTAGTTTATTCTTAATAAATAGTTCAATAATGCTAAAATATTATCGATGAAGGAAGAAGGAAAAAGCCTTTCACTAATTTTAACTAGCAAATGTGCCATCGATTAACACATTACTTTATTTCATTTTGATTAAAAGAAAAACTTTTGCTTCATTCAGAAACTTTTTTTTTACATAACTGTTATCATACAGAAACTTAAAAATTATCCTGTTGAATTGGTTTAAAAAACGCAAAAAAGTCTCTGCGTATTATTACCAATTTCAAATTCATTCCACTAAGTATAAATAAAAATCAGCAATACAATATGTCCATTTATTCATTTTATTCATATATTCTTTAACATCATTTACAACATCTTTCTTGTAAATAGGAAATCTTTTTCAATAATAAAAGAATATGCTAAGAATATAAAACTCAAATAAAATTAAAAAAATAAAATAAAGAAAAAACTCAAATAAAATAAAAAAATAAAATAAAATAAAAAAAAACTCAAATAAAATAAAAAAAAAACTCAAATAAAATATGTTTAGAATTTTTCTTTCCATGGCAAGACTATTTTTGAGTAAATTTCAATTTGATTGCGTGTTTTAATCTAAAGTGATTATTTGCAATAACAACATCGATATTCTAACAAATTACCAAATTCAAAACAGAAGAGTAATTATTTTTCAATGAATGTTTTACAGCTCCCCTAACTTACTTTTCAGCAGATGAATAATTAGCAGAGAAATGAAAACTTAAAAAAAAAATGATATCCAAAACAATTTACTGGGTGTACTATAGTTTCTTATATACTATCATTTAAAATTTTCGAGAATATAATTGAACAAAATGATCCTAAGAGATGTTTTGCTAAATACATTTCAACTAGTTTTTGTCCATCTATGCAAAAAATCACAGTGAGATTCCACCTGGTAAATGTAAGAGAAGATAAATGAATATCTTTTGCTATGTTTACTAAGCTGCAGTTAGCATTTATTTATTTTACTTTAAGACTTAAATTTAAAAGTGCTTAAAGTAAATCTGTTTTAGTTGAAGGAATTAGTGGATTACTGCATAAGCAAAGTGTTCGATCAAATGTTGAGCAAGAAATAGAATGGAAATACGAAGTTTTCTAGCATTTGCTCTTTTGCGATTTTTATCCGTTTAGATTGTTTTGGTGAAAGCCATAGAATGGAAGGAAATTATTAATTTTTGTATTTTATGGAACGGAAAGTAGTTGAGTCTCTCCCTAAATGTGAAAAAACAAAATTGAATAATCCATTTTCTACGTTTTATATTGTTATACCATTTGTCTTCTGAACCAAATTCAATTTTATTTCTTAACTTTGACATCATATCATTCCATTTCTAAGACATAAAATTAATAGAAATTAGAACTCATTGAAAACACACCTGTTTTGATTTCGCTGTATTTTTAAGCTTTCTCTACTGCATTCACATAATTCTGCATCTCGAAAATGCATTACCATTGCTTGTTCTTACCGACAAATGCAGCTTTAGCAACTTGAAAAGGTAATACTGTCTCTTTCCTTCTGTTTCTTTTCTTTTTAGCTGAGTGATGGGTCAACTATCTGTTCCCGTTGCATATTGCTCGTTTTTCATGCACTGATTTTTTCTAAATTATTCAAATATTTCTGCTTTTGTTCTTTGATATGCTTATTAGACAGATGGATTGATTGATATATTATTGTTGTAATCAGCCATTAATGTTTTTTATTATTCAAATATTGGCTTTCATTATGGTTAAGTGTAGCAGGAAATAATACATACAAAAGTGATCAACGAAGCATTTGTTTACATTACTTAAGAATAATTCATCACTATCGGATTGTGAAATTTAGTCGTTTATTGAACGATTTTGCTTCTTACCTATACTTTTTTGATTTGAATCCTAAAGTCATTTAGGTATACTATTTCTTCTTTATTTACAGCTCATTATTAATCATTTATTTCTTTTTCCTTAATGTTATTTTATATTGATTTCGTTTGTTCATATATTATTGTCTTTCAATCTTCTCAAAGAAAGGATAGCGGTTATTTTAGCAGAACTTAGGAATCTTCAAAAAACTAAAGTTTGATAAAAAGTATTTTGGTATTTATTGATTACTTCGTGAGCAATATATTTTCCAGAACTCGGTTCTCTTATTTACAAAAAGCATCCCTTCAAATATTTTTTTTTTCGTTTAAAATTCTTGTTTACTTTAGCTAATGATAGCTGGAAGATATGATAATAGTGGAAAAGTAGAAGAAAAAGGAATAACTATTGTTGGATCGTGGTCAGCTCATCGAATTACACAATTCCAGTGATCTTGTCTTGCCAAATAATTTTTCATCGATACATTTAATATTTTCATGTGAAGAAATGTGAGCGAAAAATTGAACAAGTTAGTAAAAACCATTAATCAACAAAATGTTTGTATTGATGATAGCTAGAGAAAGTTTTATTTCAGTTTGATAAAGGAGAGAACTATAGATTGCCAAATGTATAGTAATATCAGCAGAAGTTCACGGATCCTAACTTTATTTATGTGTAATTCAGATGAATTTCGTTTGCGGAGACTTTGTAGATGAGAGCTACAAAGGTCATTGATGGTATCGTCTCATCCGAGAGCCATGCTAATACTACTTTACCACTAATAGCTTTTATTATTACTGATAAAATTGGTGTATTGTTGTTGGCTAGAAAAAGTTTTATTCTGTTTTGATAAAGCCAAAAAAAAAAAAAACATAAAAACATGGGATATAAATTTTTATAAGAGTCACAAAATTTCTTCAAAGTTTCGAATGCTCATTCATACGTTCAATGCTTTCACTGCTGATATACAATATATTAATTATTAATAATGTCCTAGATTTTTATTTAGTCTTAGATAATATTTTGTTTTGACAAAGTGATCAATCAATACCGTAGTGGTTAGTTCAAAAAGTGATTCCATAGGTAGTTCACAAAGTTCATCAAATTCCAAAGAAACTATTTATGAAGAGTTATTCGTTGAAGCCATAGGTAAGGCATTGTTCAAATCCCTTACTTCTGGACAAATTAAAGCTAACGAACTGATTATTGAGTAGTCTGCAGTAGTAATGATTTCCTTAGCGATATGGTTTAAGATTCCACATTTTATTACGATGTAAAACATTGATAGTGTCATCTTTGGCTCATAAGCTTCTGGATAATATTTTGTTCTGACAAAGTGATGCTGTTTTTGTGAATTTCGAAGGAAATTAAACAATTCCTTTGGTAAATGAAACGGCGTAAAACTTCTGATATGAGATGACATAGGCGCAAGAAATCAAGATATGTGAAGTAAGCAGGTTGAATAGGATTTGATCGAAAAACTGATATTATCAATGTTTATTTCACTTAAAGCTTTTGCAACATTTATTTACTAAATATGGTTAAAACAACAAAATTCGATTGAGACTAGTTTATAAGTGGCGTCTAATCCGATGAATTTTAATTGATAATCGCCCAGTTGGATCATTTATTCCGGATAAAATACAGCCGATTTGATGAAATGATTTTTTTCTTTGCGAACTTCCTGTACAACTTCCTTCGTACAGCCATGCGCTTCTGTAATTTTCGGCTTCAAAAGATGCAGACTGCTTGGATTTAATGAAGTTGTGGTCTAATATTCTCTGATAAAATTCTGATTTGCATTGCACTATTATCTACGCGTTAGTTTCAAATTTGACTGGTATTGCAGATGGATCTTAATATTAGTTCTTTTTTCCTACCTTTTCTCTCCTGCAAACTTCCATACGATTAGGGCATTTCTATCTACTGGAAGTATTCGGTCATCTTGATTTACAGCAAATATTTTTGCTTTATCCTGAGACGTCTTTTGTGCATCGAGAGTAAAATTCGGGTAGTCCACTTTCATCTGATATACGGATTGTTGTTTATTCTTTTCAGGAACTGTATAGAATGCATAAGTACCACTTGGATCCATCTATGAATTTTCATTTATAAACAGAAGATTGATTTTGGCTCAATGTTCAGAAATCCTATCCCAGAACCCCAGAAACCTAAAGCTCAAATCAGGAAATTTTAGATCAAACTCATTTTTACATTAAGCTATTACAGTTCACTCATAGCTCAACTTAAAAGATAATTATTTCATGAAAAAGCTACTTCATTATAAATTATAAGAATAAATTTTCCTACAACCAATTGCGAAAATTTCATATGAATCTCTTCGGAACGAATCTTCATAATCCGCATCCCGCTGTCCATAGTTTTGATTTGTAACACCTCATGTCCCTAAATCGATTTAAAAAGTGCAAACTGTGCAAATATTTGAAACTTTGGAAACTATCCTTATTTTTAACAGTTTGTTGTTAGTACTTGCTATGTGTCTGTTCACTTCACTGTGGTTTAGTAGGATATAATACTGCCAGAAATAATTCCATCTTACCGTGTGCAATGAATCATTGTTATTTTGGTGAACGAAATGTAGTAAGCCTCGACCCATATCTATAGTTGTCAAGAAGATATCAGTGTATCCTGATACAAGACGACTAACTTGATCCCGATAGAAATAGCGGAAATGAGTTGGTTGATTTCTGACCGATTGTGCCACGACAATTGTTAATTCTGCTTATTTAAAACTGCATAATGAGACGAGATGTGAAAATTTTTTTGTTGGATTCCTTCTAACAATTTTAACAAACGTATTTGTCAGTTTCTGGTAGATGAATGAATCTTAGTGTATAATCTGAATTTTCTTAACGATTTGAATTCATATTTTACAATTGTTTTGGTTTAGGCATTTTTTTAAGTATGTAGAAATGCATGCCATTTTGAATTTTAGCAAAATTTAGTTATCTTGAATCGATCTAGGTTACATACACCATCAATTGAAGGTATCTATCATAAGTGTATTGTGTCACTGATTCAATGAATCAATGAAAGAAAAAGTTGTTTAAGTACCAACAAGTATCAACAAACAAATAATAAATAATAGATGCTATCATTTGGAAACTAGCAAATTGAATAAAAATGTTCTTAAACTTTTCAACAGAATATAAAATTTGTCTAGCAAATTCTGAAATGTTTAACATCAGAAAAGACAAAAACAATGAGAACAAAAAAGACCGAATTCCTGTAGATCTTACGGTTTGTTGTACTGTCGAAATTTACAATAATAGTAACATTCAGATCTAAACCAATTAAAACCGGATGCATATTATCGAATGAGCATCGAATATCTTGAGCTTGTAGTGCTCTTATCACTGCTGGTTCATGCATTATCACTTTACTTCAAAACAATTTGAAACAATTAATAGAGTAATTTTTGAGAAAATAATGATATGATAGCGACAAATAATTCATTGGAATGAGAGTTCGTGTTAACTTCAATTAACACATTCAGAAAGTATGGAAGAGTTAAGTTTTTAGCATCGAGACGCTCGACATTAGCATTAGCAAACTTTTTTCAAAAAGTTTTAGGAAGTGCAAACCTCTGCTTGTAGAAGTGCAAACCACGCAGACTTTGCACAATAGTCAACATATTCTCTACTCGAAAATCAGATTCAATTTTGACCATTGTAGATACACAGGAATCTGCATAACCTACTCTCAAGTAATATTCATAATCTTTCTGATTTAAATATTCCAGCAGCAATGACATATCGCAGTGTAGAGGTGTTCCCTAAATACGACTCGCTTACTGGAAGGCAACATTATTTCGCTTGTTATGCAAGTCAAATGTGTTGCTCGACGGTTAAAAACCTTTCAAATGACCTATAAAGAACGAATTAGAGTATCGTATTTTTAGAATCAAGATGAATATTGCCCCATAATTTGAGCAGTATCAACATCAAAAATAATTAAAAAACCTGAAGCAAGCAGAAAGTAATGAGCCAAAACATTTGATAAATGACATAGTCATTAACCATTGCAACAGATTAATAAAATATGCAGAAAGAAGAATTACATTCCATTTATATAAGAAAAAAATTATGCAAAATGCTTATAACACACTGTCATTTTATTTTTCGCTGTATCCTAAATAATTAATCAGTTGATTTAGCAAAGGGGGTATAAAGTTCCTGCATTTATCGCGGTCTTTTATTCCCTTTTCCTACCTTTTGCTTTTTATAAATTGCTTGAATCGAAGCTTATTTATGTTCAAGAATATGAGATCTTCACTGATCCGAATTCTTCGTCTTTCTTTTCTCAACAATACAATGTCACTAAAAATGGCGATGTAAAATTAACATAACTTCTAATTAAGCTAAAAATAGTACCCGGCACGTAGCTAATATAAATATTGGTATCAGTATTTAAATGAAGCACATTGTAGTGTCAATACATTAAGGAAGACTTCGAATTATGCAGTTGCACGACGGGAATTCTGATAGATTATTTGCTGTTTAAACAGCCTTTGCTGGGGCAGCAGATATAAAGTTAGATGCTGATACAATAATCATTCTGAAGATGAGGTTTTAATCCTAATGCGATAGCGTACTCATTTTTTCTACTCGCTGGAAAGAAAGATTTTCATCATTGTGTTCCAGATCAGTTTTTTTATTTAGAAATACCAAGCGAAATTTGGCGCCTGAAAGACAACGATGGAACAAAGACGTAAGTTCATGATGGTCGTGACTCAACAATGATCATTAAAAAAGCAATGTTCCATATTATGTTTTAGCAGCCGCCTTCATGTCCAAAGAATTTAGGAAAAATTATTATTGAACTATTTGCTGTTTTAAAATATTACAATTGCTTTTTAATTAAATATTTGAATGTTGATATCTTAAAACTGTACTTAGGAAAATATGTATAATGATTTTACTTCTGGTCACTGTTTTTATTTGTCATTAGTTCATAATGCTGTTAGAAACTCATTTACACTAAACAATAATTTGCAAAGAACGTCTTACACTTTGGATTATCAAATAAACCATTCAATACTGACAACTTGAACTTTAGCAGTGTCATTTAAAAAAGCCATATTTTATTAATGCTATTTTGATCTACAAATATATTGTGATTACCTAAATACGACAATTGAATCACTTGAGGTTATCTCTGATTTTCATGAAACCCTTCCGTAGACTGTCGAAACTGTTCGGAATTTTTGGACAAAGCTTTTCCAATTTGGACGTATCCAAAGCACAGTTTCCTTTAGTCGTGCAAAGTTCACGATATTTGTCATCATTTGCATCTAATAACTCATAGTAATGGAAGTCCGAACAAACAATCTAAAATTATTTGTTACTTAGAAAATAGCTTGTGGTTTTTTCTCTAAAGTTATACATGACGTTAGATCAACCTCCTTATAAAGTTCCAGTATTTGAGAAAAACTGATCGGTTGGGGATTGACTAAATTCAAATTACCACCAACACGTCTTTCCATGAGATCAATTAGTGCTGGTATGCAGTCATCAAGTATTGTTATCGATACTGGAATGTCGAAGATTTGCCTTAAAAACGAATAAACCATTTTTTTTTGGAACAAAATTAAGTAAAACATAAGCAAAAACGAAAGATGAAAAAAATGGAAAGTTTAAAGACCCAAAAAAAAAAGTTTTACTTATATCCCAAAATTTTGGTCAACAGATTTCTCTCTTCGTCTAAACAGAAATTCAAAGGTAACGTTATTCGAGCATTTAAGCATTCCTTGATTCCACCGTGATATTGTTGTATCATACGATCAGTGAAACCTTTCACAATTGAATATGAATTTCCGAAAAATGTTGGCAAATCTAAAACTAATCATCAAATAAACTCAAGTAATAGACTTCTCCATATATAATAATTTCTGAAAATATTTTCAACCAGCAACACAAATTACACAAAGAGGTGAAAGATCTTATCAGCTCTTCACAAACATTACAACTGTTACCACCACTTACTGCAACAGGACACAACTAAAAGTTGTTTCTAATATACCATCATCAGTGAATCCTTTGCCGCCTATCGGATGCTCCTGATCATATGCAAATATATATCCAGTCCCGACGTAGGTGAAATGCAGACCCAATGTTTGACATATTCTCGCTAAAGTCACTGTTGAGTACAAATTATCTCGTATATTCTCGAAAGTTTGATTTGGTCCTCCTGGAAAAATCTTTGACTATATATTTTGAATGACTCAAATTTTCAGAGCTGAAGAAATTCAAAAACGTATTCATATGAAATCCCAATAATGCTAGTATTTTATTAAATCTGATACAAATCCTCTCAGGTTATTTGAACCTTCTAGATATTCCACTGTTTTGAATTTACCACCGTGCGTTCTTCCCGTACAACACAGTACATGTGTACAGGAAATACCATTTAACTCATCCAAAACCTGAAATAAACTACATCAGTGACTAAAAAAAAAAGGTAAACTTCAAACCACCTTCTTTGTTGGTAAAAAATCTAAATCTCAGTATGTCCCTTGATATCAAGCAATTTGAAAACTACACACCTCCTTATCGCTATTCTTTCCAACTCGACACTTGGCCAGCGTAAAATGGATCTTCCGCTCAAGTAATTTCTTACAGCACTGCTGTCCAATCCAGCCTTTGCCACCATAAATAACAACGGCCATCTTCTGACTCCTTTTAGGCAGATTTAATGCAGAAACGATAACTCGACTAATGCCTAAAATTGATTGTTTTTCATTTAAAATTCAAACAATATAAGAATTAAGCAACTGGAAGAATAATCTCGCTCAGGAATTTATGGCAATTGAATCAAATCTATCTGCATAAAATACGCTTGAAAACATTTTAGTAGTAATGCATTTTCATTGAAATTACATATTTGGCAAGGTCAAGTAATGTATTTCAGAGTATATATCTTTACTGAATCAAGAAAGAGGCAAAGTCCTAGTATCTTTTTGATAAAACTTAAAAAAGAGATCCTGAAAAATGTGTTACAAATAGTATACCCAAAAAATTACCTTCTTCAAATGACACTTTTGGTGACCAACCAGTATCCAGACTAATTTTACTGTAATCAAGCAGATAACGTAAATCGTTATATGGCCGATCAAGTATACCAACAAATTCTACAGGGGTTAGACTTCGTCCAAGTTGCCGGTCTACTTCCGCTTGTATAACGTGAGCAAGATCAATTACTGCAAAAAATGATAAACTTATAGCAAGTCAATCAAGAAGTGATTAAAGAAATATCTAAAGTTTAAAATACCATTCATTTCAAAATAAGTTCCGATGTTGTAAATTTCATGAATTTTTCCACTTTCGACGGCCTTTCGAATACCTTCAGCTGCATCGTCAACATAGAGCCATGAACGTAACTGTTTGCCACTACCTTGCACAGTAAATTTTTCCATATTTTTTGCTAATTTAATGAAACGAGGAATTACCTAAAATTGCTTCTAATCATCATCAATAATCTTAAAGGTTCATAGTAGAGATGAGCCTTTAAAACTTTTCCAAATATTTTTTATTGCAATTAATCTGATATTCTAAAAATTTTCTATTTAAGAAAGTCTGAATCAAGAAATCTAATCTACAGATTATTTCGTTTACTGCTACTATATGTTATAAAAAACCTTAACATCCCACTGATTAGGTCCATAGATATTGTTGATACGTAATATAATGATTGGCATTGCAAACAAGTCGCAGCAAATATGTGCATATGATTCACAAGCTGCCTAAAAACAAGCTGAAAGTTTCAGTCAGGTTTTTCTAAAAGTTTCTTTTTAAAATTTTGTTTTCCTCACCTTTGTAGCCGCATAAGGATTTCCAGGCAAAAGAACTGCGTCCTCTATTTTGCCTTTTTCATCTGCTACCAGGTTAGAATCACCGTATACCTTCAAAACAAATAATAAGTCTTATGTAAGGAAGAAACAGTTATTTAAAAAAATAGATAAATTTCATGAAAATTTGAAGAATTCCTCAAAATGTTAAATATATATTGCGATATTTCCTTGTTTCGATATCAAAAAAATAATTGTTGCAAAATAATTTAGTGATTTATTTTGGAATCTAATAGTAGTTATAATTGTCGGAATTTTGTATGACTTTTAAATCACAAAGCTCTAAAGGTAGATATATCTTACACTATCAAAATCGGAAAGAGCAGGAAATGAACCTCGTCAGTACTGATATGTAAAAATCTTTCGATTTTCTTATAGGACTGAATACACTTCATAAACTGGATAAATGCAATCACATTATTTTCAATTGATTCTACAGGATCATCGTAACATCGTGTTGAAGTGCAGTCCGCTGCAAAGTGTATCACGGTATCAATCTATAACATAATTTGGGAATTACTAGCTGATAGACCTAGTGATAGAATTCTATATATTTTAGAAGTGTTATTTTAGAAAAAAATGTATATATATATATATATATTAGAATTATGAAACAAGCTGTCAGCAATTAGTTTTTTAATTTCCACTATGCTCCTCCGGTTTATCAAATATTTTATCAGCCTATCAAGTATGTTAATCAGCGGTTTAGTTAAGTCGAAATATCTCTTAAAGATCCAAGGATTCGTCTTATCGCTACGATTATTCTTGGTCCAATAGATATTCAGCACTCTCTTAACTGTTGAGCAGACACCGACACAGGAACTGATCCAGAATATACAACTTCCCACCGTTTTAACCAAATTGCATGCACTATTTGTTAAGCGAACAAAATAAGGTTAGTAAATGCA